CACTTAATTGTTTTAAAAATGTCCTCATTAATCATTTTATTTTGAACAACAAGCACTAATTATTATATAACCAAACAGTTATATTAATCAAATCCACTATCTATTATCTGCTACCTGCTTTTTGCTATCCACTACCTACCATTCGCTAACCACCATTTGTTACCTGCTACCGCTGTCTGCTATCTGTTATCTGCTATCTGCTACACGCTATCCATTATATCCACTACCCACTATCCACTATCCACTATCCACTATCCACTAAATTTTAACTGTTATACCAAATAGGGTGCTAAATGTTTTTGCTTCCTATAACCCTTGTCTAATTTCTAATTATAAAGTTTTGAATACTAAAGCTCCCTCCAAATATTAATAAAACATTTGATATGATGGTAACTAAGCTTCAGCAACTTTGTACAACTTTACAGCAACCAACTCTGTTACAACAAAAGTCACAACCACCCAAACAGACCATAACAGCGTTGCCCAAAATAATGTCGTTGTGATGAATAATTTACATGATCTTTTACTTGACATTTTTGTGATAATTAATTAGAAGGACGCTATACCCAAAACCGTCACTTTAAAAAGTGATAAAAACAAAATGAAGATGAAGCTCAACCAAACTAGAGACTGTGCCAAGGAAATTTAATCTTTTGTGGTGGTGTCTACTCAGTTCTCAAAACCATTCTGTTCTACTTATCTATAACTGTAGGGAACATCAAAGAAATAAGGATTTTTCTAACACATACCTTTAAGTACAAATTCAAAGTATATTTATTACATTTTTTATTATTAATTTATATAAAAAAATAAAAGTCAATTTTAACTTTATCAACCCTCTAATCAAAATACTCCATAACGTTAATATTGAAAATAAAATTCATTTTTATAATTTTTCATATAAATTAAAAGTAAAAAGATATAATGTATCCTAAGAGTATGTGTTAGAAAATTCTAAGAAATAATAAGGGAGAAGTCATCAATTTAGAGTAGGTAGGGTGAAGATTGAAGGAA